GTCTTGAACCCGTGGGCTCAGGCAATCCACTCACCTCAGCCTCCCAAAGGCGTGGGATTAAAGGCTAAGCCACCGAGCCCAGCTTGTCCTCTGCTTCTTATACCCATTCTCCCTCCCATTCACACTGATTCCCCAGCAAACACTTAAGATTGAAACCTGGGGGGCATCTGCGATTTCTCTTCTTCCACACTTCACATCTGCATCATGACGAAGGACTCTGAAACCAATTTTCTGAATATATACAGAATGTGACCACTTTTAACCACTTCCTCTATCGCTACACTGGTCCAAGCCATTTCCTCCTGCCTGGGTGACTTCAGTGACCTTCTCTCTGGCACTGTTCCCACCCTTTTTTTTTGAGTTGGAGTCTTACTCTGTCGCCCAGACTGGAGTGCAGTAGCCGCTCCCAGCCACCGCAGCCTCGACCTGCTGGGCTCTGGTGATCCTTCGACCTCAGCCTTCCTAGTAACCGGCATTACAGGCACGCGCTACCACGCCCGGCTCATTTTTGATTTATTGTAGAGATGAGGTCTCGCCAAGTTGCCCAGGCAGGTCTCGAACCCGCGGGCTCAGGCATTCCACTCACCGCAGCCTCCCAAAGGCGCGAGATTACAGGCTGAGCCACTGAGCCCGGCTAATTAGCTGTTTTAAAGTGAACAGTTCAGTGACTTTTATCATATTCACTCTGGTTCTGAAGCATTTTCATCTCCTGGTAGGTATTTCTGTAGTCATTCCCTGCTTGTACTCTTATAGCAGCAGCCGGAGCCATCCCACTGACATGAAGATCAGATCGTAGCACGCCTTGCACACCCACACCTACTCCCAGCCCCACCCCTGTCTTGCTCCTGGTCTTCTCTGTCTCCTCTTCTTAAAAAACATGGCTGTATTTCACAGCCTGTCCACCTGCTGTGCTGGCTGAGGCCCTTTGTGCCTGGAAGTGAGGCTCTCACCCGTCTTTGGGTCTTTCAGAAAACCCTTCCTGGCCACTACTGTATAGCCCCCACATCTCTGGCACCCTATCTTTGCTGTTATTGGCAGTGCTTCTCACTAATTGGAATTGCCTTAATGATTCTCCCCACAAAAATGTCAGCTCTGAGGACAGTGCTTGATGATTCTGTCTTGTTGGCCACTGTCCTATGCCCACCTGGAACAGTGTTGGCACCTAGTAGCTGACCACATGCTTATTGAACAAGTGGATGAATTAACCATAAGAGTAACCGCATGGAATGCGTGCTCTGCCTGTACTGTGTTAGGTCCTTTCCTGTATTATCACCTGGAGTCTTCATAACACTCTAGCATGAATACTATTGTTACTCTTTTTTTGTGGAAAGAGAAATTGAGGCTTAGAATACTAAAGTGACTTGTTCAAGCTGGGCCATTCATTCATGTGTTCTTTAAACATTTATTGGATGCTTTGGAAGGAAATAGAATAGCTGCCATTTATTAAATATTTTTTATGTATAAGGCACTGCACTAAATGCTTGACCTATTTTGTTATTCAGTTTTTAATATAACACTGTGAAGTTAGTTGTTTGACCCATTTAACTGAAGAGAAAACTGAGGCTCAGAGAGGTGAAGTGAATTTCCTTAAGGTCACAACGAGTAAGGGATAAGGCTGGGTTTTTAACCCATGTCTGTGATGCCAGAGCTCAAATTCTCAATCTCTTTCATTTACTGGGAGAATTTTTGGTAACGTTTCTGAGTTTGCAAAAATTTCACTAATTTAGCAAATTTGTATCATGTGCCTGCTGTGTGCCAGGCATTTGTTAGGCTGTAGGGAGATAGCAGTGAGCAGAAACAGAAACTATTCCTGCCTTCATGTAACTGACAGCGGAATTCCGTATTTATTGACTGATTCAGTTAATATTCAATTTCAGATTGTTATATATGCTGTGAAAATTATGTTTACATGCTGAACTCCAGAGGTTGACTTTCTTTATGTATTCATTGAACAGACATTTACTGTAGTCCTTTCATGCTTTCCTTCAACAAAAATGACCCTGCTAGTACTCAATACAAGGAGAGGGCCTCCATTTTCCCAGCTCATAGACTTGGGTAAACAAAACTAGTGATTACATAAAGCAATGTGCTTTCAAGTAGTAATAAGCCAGGTGCTGTGGCTCACGCCTGTAATCCCAGCACTTTGAGAGGCAGAGGTGAGAGGATTGCCTGAGTCCCGGGGTTCGAGACCAGCCTGGGCAACTTTCCAAGACCGCGTCTCCACAATAAATAAATAAAATAAGATTAGTCAGGCATGGTGGTGCCTTCCTGTGGTTCTAGCTACTTGGAAGACTGTGGCAGAAGAATCACCTGAGCCCAGCAGGTGGAGGCTGTGGTGGCCATGAGCATACCACTGTACTCCAGCCTGGGCGACAGAGAGAAACTCCAACTAAAAAAACAAAAAATGTAATAATGAGGGTTGGATTATTATTTTTTATTTTGTTTTACTTTTTTGAATCAGAATTTCACTGTCACCCAGGCTGGTGCAGTGGCACAATCACAGCTTACCGCAACCTCAGCCTCCTGGGCTCAGGTTATCCATTTGCCTCAGTAGCTGGGACTCCTGGTGTGCACCACCACACCCGGCTAATTTTTAAGTTTCTTGTAGAGACGAGGTCTTGTTATGTTGCCCAGTCTAGTCTTGAATTCCTGATCTCAAGCAATTCTCCTGCCTTGGTCTCCCAAAGTGCTGGGATTACAAGTGTGAGTCACTGTGCCTGGTGAGGGTTGGTATCTATTGGATGTTTTCTACATGTCAAGCATTGTTCTAAGCACTTTATGTGTATTGTTGCAGTTTTCACAACAGCCTATGATGGATAGTATTATTCTAAATGAGATGAAGTTACTTGTTCAAATTCACACAGTTGTCTGGCTCTGCTACCCCTTATAGAGATAGCAAGCCCCTAAGAGAGCAAAGGAGTAGAGGTTGTGGGACCAGCCTAATTGCAGGGTTTGGGGCTGCTCAGTCTGGAGGTACCCAGCATTTTTCTCAGCTGGGTACCTCCAGCTGAGATGTGCCGGTGACCAAGACAGGTGTAGTCCCTGGCTCTGTCATGCCCATTCTGATTCCCTGAGACATGGGTCCTGATTTCCCTTTCCTCCTGGATCTCAGGCTCACACCCACCTGCCCTGAGACCACCTTGACTGTGCCCCCTTTTCCTCCATCCCCCAGCAAACGAGACATTGAGTTACTGCTGAAACTGATTGCAAACCTCAACATGCTCTTGAGGGACGAGAATGTGAACGTGGTGAAGAAAGCCATCCTCACCATGACCCAGCTCTACAAGGTGGCCCTGCAGGTGAGAGCTCCCTCTTCACCAGGGCGTCGCACCAGACAGGTCTCTTAGACCAATGTTGGAGTTCAAAACCCGGGTCAGATCTTTTTTTGGTGGGGAAGTCAGTTTCACTCTCACCCAGGCTGGAGTGCAGTGACACAATCATGCTTCACTAGAGACTTGACCTCCTGGTTCAGGCAATCCTGCCTCAGCCTCCCAAGGACTATAGGTGTGTGCTACCACACCTGGCTAGTTTTTAAGTTTTTGTAGAAATGAGATCTTGCCAAAAATTTGGCCCAGGCTCATCTCAAACTCCTGGGCTCAGCCAATCCACCTGCCTCAGCTTCCCAACATCTGGGACTACAGGTGTGAGTCACCGCACCCAGCTAGATCGTATTCTTTATGAGCAAGATATACTGTTGGTCTGTGGTAACAGACAACAATGGGATCTGATATCTGCTGGGTCGGGAAATTGCCTTTAGTCATCCTTCCTTTCATCCATTCATTCATTTGTTCAGCAAACATTCCCTAGGTGATGCTGGGAACACAGCAGTGACCAAGACAGATCACTGCCTTCATGGTCCTGCCTTCACGGTACTCATACCCAGTGAGGGAGACAGACTTTAATTTAAAAACCACATAGATAGTGATGATGGACACGATAGGAAAAGAATACTATGGTGTGATGTTCACAGGCACTAATGAACTGAATGAATCTGCTTAGTCACTACCACCTTGTGAAGTCCGCATTTTTCCTTTGCCTTCCTTAAGATTTGAGCCTTCCTCATGCTGGGTTGTCACTGTGAACCTCACAAGGGATGGGCCAGACCTGGCCACCAGTGGGTCCTATCTTCAGCATGCCCTGGCACGGGGTGGGGACCAGAGTTGGAACTCAGTAGTGTTAACCAAATGAATGCATTCATCCTTGATGGATCTCTGGTTAGTGTTAGAAGCTGCTGGTGATTGATTTGTTGTATTCATCTCTCTACCTGTCCCTTCCATCCTTCCCTGGCCCACTGGCAGTGGATGGTGAAATCTCGGGTCATCAGCGAGCTCCAGGAGGCCTGCTGGGACATGGTGTCTGCCATGGCTGGGGACATCATCCTGCTGTTGGACTCTGACAATGATGGCATCCGCACCCACGCCATCAAGTTTGTAGAGGGCCTCATTGTCACTCTTTCACCCCGCATGGCCGACTCGGAGATTCCCCGACGCCAGGAACATGACATCAGCCTGGACCGAATCCCTCGTGACCACCCCTACATCCAGTACAGTGAGTGCTGCCCTGGCTGGTGCTGTTCGACAGCACTGCACCAGCTCCCTTCCCCCTCCTCTCCTTCCTCTCCCTTGTCTTTCTTAGTTTTTAACTTCTGGAAATTGTACGTGCAGTGGTTAAGAGCCCTGACACGAGGTTCAGATCCCAGCTTGTGAACTCAGGCAAATTACTTCTCTCTGAACTTTATTTTCTTTTTTTGTAAAGTGTAGATTATAGTAGTACCCCTTTCATAGGCTTGTGAGATTCCATGAGAGTTTGAGCTGATAGATGCTAGCTAGTTTAATGGTTTTCTTATTCTAAAATAAAACAACTTTTTAGAATTGCATATTCTTTTTCTTTTGTTTTAATTCATCTTTCTCAGGTTGAATAGAATTATATATTTTAAAATTAGCACCTGAATACTCTGTGAGCATCAAGTACTATGGAGGGCTGCAGAGGAAGAACACCTTTCTCTCAGTCCCACTTTCCAGAGATCAACATTGTTTTTTGGTTTTTTTTTTTTTGAATTGGAGTCTCACTCTGTCGCCCAGACTGGAGTGCAGTGGCCGCTCCCGGCCACCGCAGCCTCGACCTGCTGGGCTCCGGCGATCCTTCCGCCTCAGCCTTCCAAGTAGCCGGAATTACAGACATGCGCTACCACACCCAGCTGACTTTTTTGATTTATTGTAGAGATGAGGTCCTACTGCCCAGGCGGGTCTCGAACCCGCGGGCTCAGGCAATCCACTCACCTCAGCCTCCCAAAGGCACGGGATTACAGGCTGAGCCACCGATCCCGGCTGAGATCAACATTGTTAAGAGTATTATGTTACCTTCCAGATCTCTTTTATGCACATGTAGATATTTGTATGCATATATTCATAGTGTCTGCATTTGCTTTTGTGTTTACAAAACTGGAGCCCATGTTTCCTGTTTGCAGCTGTGAGACACTAGTATGTAGTGGCTTGCGTTCTAACCTTGCTCTACCATTAGACAAGTAACTTGTTCTGTCTGTCTCTGAATCTGTTTCCTCATTGGTAAATTTGGGATCATTATTATGGCATCTACATAGGATGCAGGTGTGAACATTTGGTGAGTTACCATGGCTGGCATAGTAAGCACTCCATAAATATTAGCTATTCTTATATATTGTTTGACAGTCTTTTTTTACATAGTAATATCATAACACCTTTTCCTATCAGAGTTATGTTCAATTGCTAAACATATTATGTAGTACGGTTTACATCACATTCTGTTAAGCAATTCTCTGTTGATGGCCATTTAAGTTTTTTGGGTTTTTTTTTTAATTGGAGTCTCACTCCGTCACCCAAACTGGAGCGCAGTGGCCACTCCCAGCCACCGCAGCCTCGACCTGCTGGACTCCGGTGATCCTTCCGCCTCAGCCTTCCAAATAGCCGGAATTACAGGCATGCACTACCACGCCCAGCTGATTTTTTTATTTATTGTAGAGATGAGGTCTCGCTGCCCAGGCGGGTCTCGAACCTGCGGGCTCAGGCAATCCACTCACCTCAGCCTACCAAAGGCGCAGGATTACAGGCTGAGCCACCAAGCCTGGCAAGTTTTTTGGTTTTTTAATTTGAGTCGGAGTCTCACTCTCTTGCCCAGGCTAGAGTGCAGTGGCATGTTCATGGCCACCACAGCCTCGACCTGCTGGGCTCAGGTGATCCTTCTGCCTCAGCCTTCCAAGTAGCTGGAACTACAGGTGGATGCCACCACACCTGGCTTATTTTTTGATATATTGTAGAAATGAGGCCTCACCAAGTTGCCCAGGCTGGTCTCGAACTCCTGAGCTTAGGCAATCCTCTCACCTTGGCCTCCCAAAGTGCTGGGATTATAGGCTTGAACCATCGCACCCAGCCTCATTTAAGTTTTTGGGGTTTTTTGTGTGTTTTTTTTTTTTTTTTTAGTTGGAGTCTCACTCTCTTGCCTAGGCTGGAGTGCAGTGGCATGCTCCCGGCCATCGCAGCCTCAACCTGCTAGGCTCCGGTGATCCTTCCGCCTCAGCCTTCCAAGTAGCTGGAACTACAGGCATGTGCTACCACGCCCGGCTAATTTTTGATTTATTGTAGAGACAAGGTCTCGCCAAGTTGCCGAATGGGTCTTGAACCCCTGGGCTTGGGCAGTCCACTCGCCTTGGCCTCCCAAAGCTCTGGGGTTACAGACTGAGCCACTGAGCCTAGCCCTCATTTAAGTTTTTTGTTCACTATTTCAAATAATGTGGCATTCGTTATGTTTTTTACATAGAAAATGTCTGGAAAGGTGTCCACCAAAGTTTCAAGCATTTACTTTTGGGAGTTGAATTGAGAGGAGCAGTGCTATAAGGGACTTTGAATTCTTTATGTGTAGATACACAAACATGCATAGTCAAAGTTTTATACCAACATGGTTCATACAGTCAGTTTCCTGTACCTGGGTATTTAAAATTACTTCTAATTTTTCATTATTGCAAGCCTGTGCTTTGAACATCCTTATAACTAAACTTCATGGGTTTTTTTCTGAGTTGGAATCTGACTTTATCGCTCAGGCTGGAATTTAGTGGCACAATCATGGCTACAGCAACCTCGACCTGCTGGACTCAGGCAGTCTTTCCATCTCAGCCTTCCAAATAGCTGGGACTGTGGGTGCAAGCCACCATGCCTGGCTAATTTTTTTATTTATTGTAGAGACAAGGTCTTGCCAAGTTGCTCAGGGTGGTCTCAAACCCGTGGGCTTAGGCATTCCTCTCACCTTTGCCTCTCAAAGATCTGGAATGATAGGCATGAACCAATGCACCCAGCCATAACTAAACTTTTATACTCATTAATAGTCTCATAGAACACATCAACCACTAAATTCTGTTTTTTCCAGCCATTACAGACATCTAAGAACCAGGATCCCTCCTTCCTTTTGGTCCTAAAAGCTGCTCTCTCCAGAGGCCTGGGAGAAAGGATCCTATTAACTAGCTACCTTCTCTGCCTCATTAGACGTCCTCTGGGAAGAAGGCAAGGCAGCCTTGGAGCAGCTGCTCAAGTTCATGGTGCACCCCGCCATCTCCTCCATCAACCTGACCACGGCACTGGGGTCCCTCGCCAACATCGCCCGCCAGAGACCCATGTTCATGTCTGAGGTGATCCAGGCCTATGAAACCCTGCATGGTAGGTTGATACTCTCCTCTTCCTCTCTCTGCTGGCCAGTCTGCTCTTCCTTAAGGAAATGTGAGCTAGCTGTGAGACCGTGATACTAGTCATCAACCTAGCAGACTGTGGGATTCTCTAGATTAGACAGAAATCTTTTTTTTTTTTTTTTTTTGAGTTGGAGTCTCACTCTGTCTCCCAGACTAGAGTGTAGGGGCCACTGCTGGCCACCGCAGCCTCGACCTGCTGGACTCTAGCGATCCTTTTGCATTAGCCTTCTAAGTAGCTGGAACTACAGGCGCGTGCTACCGCGCCCGGCTAATTTTTGATTTATTGTAGAGATGAGGTCTCACCAAGTTGCCCAGGCGGGTCTCGAACCCACAGACTCAGGCAATCCACTTACCTCAGCCTCCCAAAGGCGAGGGATTACAGACTGAGCCACTGAGCCCAGCTAGACAGAAATCTTTAGACATGTGACAAAAGCCTGGTTCAAAACTGGCTTTAATATTGAGGTGTGTGTGGGTGAAATGACAGGATGTCTGTGAAATACTTTGAAATATTCTAGCTGTCCTGCACCAAAAATGGGAGGGTAGGTGTTCCAAGATTAGCAAAATGTTGATGGGTACACGGAGACTCATATATGTTCTTTGCTTTGGGGCACATATGAAGACTGAGAAGTCGGTTGAGGCATGAGTATGTGCAGGTCATGGTTCTCTCTCCAGCTCTTGGTTCTTGGTTTCTCCATTTGGGCTTCATTCTCTGGCTTTCCTTGGGGTAGCAAAAATGGCCCCCTATAGCTACAGGCTTCCATTCTAGCTGCCTAGCAACCCCAGGGGAAAAAGAATGTTTCCTTCCAATCATTCCAGCAAAACTCCAAGGGCTGATGCTCATTGTTTCTGATTGGCTGGGCATAGATTATGAACCTATCTCTGAACCAATTATACTAGCCAAGGAAATACAGGGTTCTCATTGGCCCCCAATCTCATGCCCACTTGGACTGAGAATGGAGACAGGATGGTTCCCTCAAAGGAGAATGGGACTGTTGTTGGCCGAGGAAGGGACAAGAGCTGCTGGGCAGGCAGAATTACAGGCATCCCTTTTCTCTGTGGAACAGGGAAGGCTTGATCGTCAAGGTGACCATTAGACATTAGAAAGTCATACTGATGTCAGAGAGTGGCAGGGCGACTAGCATTGTTTATTTGGGAATTTCTGGAGGTGAAAGTAGTGATTATAGCTCTCCCAGGGAAAGCATATTAGAATTTCCAGACCAGTTGGAGGGAGATGGGACTGTGTTTAATAAAAGGGAGGGTGAGTTTCTGGCTTCGTTTTAAGGTTGATTATCATTGATGGAGACCTCTCCAGGGATCAAGCACCAACTTGGAAGGGGGCAAGCCACACAGTAGATCTGAGGGTGAAGGAGCTTTTCTGGAAGAGGCCTGCAAGACCACCACCCAAGTCTGGGGTTGGGAATTAAGGCGAACGATACACCATGAGATTGCCCACAACACAGAGTTCCTGCTTCTTTCCTCACAGCCAACCTACCTCCGACACTGGCCAAATCACAGGTAAGCAGCGTGCGGAAGAATCTCAAGATGCACCTGTTGAGCGTGCTGAAGCACCCAGCCTCTTTGGAGTTCCAGGCCCAGATCACCACCCTGCTTGTGGACCTGGGCACGCCTCAGGCTGAGATTGCCCGCAATATGCCCAGCAGCAAGGATTCCCGCAAACGGCCCCGAGATGACTCGGATCCCACACTCAAGAAGATGAAGCTAGGTGAACCGAGGGGCAGAGTGTGGGGCCTGATGGGAGGTGGGGGCCGGGGTGGGGGCAGGGGCTGACCATGCTTAAAATGTCTAGTTGTGTATCTTAATGTGCTAAGCATGGATTAATTACTATCATGTTATAAATTATATAATATGATACGTGATATAACAAATATCAAAATAGAATTATTAAAGTATAAATCCATGTAATAATTATTAATCATTTAAAATATACAGAAAGGAATAAAATAAAAATAGTCTTCCTCTTATTCCTCTCCCCAAAAGTACCACTCCCCAAGTATGAACACTTCCAGTGTTTTTTTACATGTACTACTCTCCTTTCTTTCTTTCTTTATTTTTTTAATGAGACAGGGTCTTGCTCTGTTGCTCACACTGGAGTATAGTGGTGTGATCGTAACTTAGTGTAGCCTCGAACTCCTGGATTCAAGAGATCCTCCTGTCTTAGCCTCCTGAGTAGCTATGATTACAGGACTGCACCCAGTGGTTCTTTTTTTTTATAAGTGGGTTTTCTTTCTGAAGTTTTTTTTTTTTTGAGCTGGAGTCTCACTCTGTCGCCCAGACTGGAGTGCAGTGGCCGCTCCCGGCCACCGCAGCCTCGACCTGCTGGGCTCCGGTGATCCCTCCGCCTCAGCCTTCCAAGTAGCCAGAACTATAGGCATGCACTACCACGCCTGGCTCATTTTTTGATTTATTGTAGAGATGAGGTCTTGCTTGCCCAAGCGGGTCTTGAACCCGCAGGCTCAGGCAATCCATTCACCTCGGCCTCCCAAAGGCGTGGGATTGCAGGCTGAGCCACCAAGCCTGGCTGAAGTATTTTTTTAAGGTTGGGATCTCACTCTGTTGCTCAGGCTGGAGTTCAGTGGCATGATCATGGCTCACCACAGTCTTGATCTCCTGGGCTCAGGTGATCCTCCTACCTCAGCCTCCCAAGTAGCTGAAACTACAGGCGCTTGCCACCATGACCGGCTAATTTTTTTATTTTTTGTAGAGACAGAGTCTCACTATGTTGCCTAGGCTGGTCTTGAACTCCTGGGCTCAAGCAGTCCTCCCACCCTTGCCTCCCAAAGTGATAGGATTACAGGCCTGAAGTAATTTTGTAATGGTTGTTTTTTTTTTTTGTTTTTTTTTTTTGAGTTGGAGTCTCACTCTGTTGCCCAGACTGGAGCACAGTGGCCGCTCCCGGCCACCGCAGCCTCAACCTGCTGGGCTCCGGCGATCCTTCTGCCTCAGCCTTCCAAGTAGCCGGAATTACAGGCATGCGCTACCACGCCCGGCTGATTTTTTGATTTATTGTAGAGATGAGGTCTTGCTGCCCAGGCGGATCTCGAACTTGTGGGCTCAGGCAATCCACTCAGCTCAACCTCCCAAAGCGCGAGATTACAGGCTGAGCCACCAAGCCCGGCTATGGTTGTATTTTTTATCAATAGTGTCAACTATGGCAACTTTTGTTAACTCTAAAAGGTTTCAGAAAAATCATGTTTATTTCTAGTCATTTAAGAAAGACTTGTCATTTTAAAAAAGAAGGAATTTATTTTGGTATGAGGAGTAAGGTAGAGATCTAACTATATTTTTCATAATTAAGCATACTAAGCAGAGTGTTCTGTACTTTGATTTGTTTTAATTCAGCTTCGTTTAGTATCATCCTGGAGTTCTTTCTATATCTACGTATAAAAATCTACTGCTTCCTTTTTTAATAGCGACCTAATAGTCTGTAGTACACTTGGACACTTTAACCATTCCCTCTATTGGTGGACATTTAATTTGTGTCCACTTGAAAATTTTTTTTATATTTCAGAATTAACTTTTAATTGTGTCCTTTTTTTTTTTTTGGAGTTGGAGTCTCACTCTGTCGCCCAGACTGGAGTGCAGTAGCCGCTCCCAGCCACCACAGCCTCGGCTTGCTGGGCTCCGGCGAGCCTTCTGCCTCAGCCTTCCAAGTAGCTGGAACTACAGGCCCGAGCTACCACGCCCGACTAATTTTTTGATTTATTGTAGAGATGAGGTCTTGCCAAGTTGCCCAGGTGGGTCTCGAACCCGCGGACTCAGGCAATCCACTCATCTCAGCCTCCCAAAGCGCGGGATTACAGGCTGAGCCACCAAGCCCCGCTGAGTCTTATTCTCGTTGCCCAGGCTGGAGTGCAGTGGCACGCTCACAGCTACCGCAGTCTCTACCTGAAGGGCTCAGGCAATCCTTCCGCCTCAGCCTTCCAAATAGCTGGAACTACAGATGCATGCCACCACATCCGGCTAGATTGTGTCCATTGTTAAAGAAAGTGTGAGGAGTACTGTAGTATAAAAGTCTAGTGCACATAGGACAGATTCCTAGAGGTGAGATTGCTGAGGCAAAGGGTTTGTGTACTTGAAGTCATTTTTTGCCTATCAACTTTTTCTATTTCTTTAAACTTTTTATTTTGAAAGAATTTTGAACTTTTAGACAAGTCACAAAAATGGTAATGAAAACTCCTGTGTACCCTTCATGATCACATACTGCGTTCAGTTGGCATGTCCCTTTGGTCTTCTGAGTCAGTTCCACAGCCTTGCTTTGTGTTTCATGACATTGATATTGTGAAGCGTGTAGGACAGTTGTTTGGTAGAATGACCCTCCATTTGGGTCTGGCTGCTCTTGAATCATGATGGGATTCAGCTTGCTTACTTTTGGCAGGAATACTATAGAAGCAATGTCCTGGCCTCCTCGTGCATGGAATCAGGAGGCACATGATACCAGTTTGTCCCATTATTGCTGATGGTAACTGATGTTCAGTTAAGGTAGTGTCCACCAGGTTTCTCTAGTGTCAAATGCCATTTTTCTCTTTGCAAATAATAATCTGGGGGAGATATTTGAAACTACATAAAATACATGTTCCTCTTCAGAGTTTCACTCAGTGATTTTAACATCTGTTGTTGCCTGAGTCTGTTATTCTATCCTGGTTACAAAAAGAGTTTCCTTTTACATTTATCAGCTGAAATTCTGCTGTAAGGAAGAACTTTGTTGTCTTCATTTTATTATCAGTAGTAAGTTTTGTTGAACGTTTCATTTACTTACTGACATAACAAGATGTTCTAGACTCATTTTGACTTTTCTTGCCCCAGCTTTGGAATCAGCCATCCTCTAGGGAGCAGTGGTTTCTTTTAAGTGGGGAGTAGTTTCAGAAGTCAAGACCCTAAGCCGGGCATGGTAGTGCATGCCTGTAGTTCCAGCTACTTAGAAGGCTGAGGCAGAAGGATCACAGAAGCCCAGCAGGTCAAGGGTGCAGTGGCTGTGAGCATGCCACTACATTCCAACCTGAGTGACAGAGTGAGACTCTGACTCAAAAAAAAAAACAAAAAAAAGAAAGAAAGAAATCAAGACCTGAAAGTCAAGACCTATAAATTATTGATAACTGTTTTTGAATTGCATCCTAAAACACTGCACCAGTGTACACAACCCTACCTGTGTGAGTGCTGGTTACCCTGCCTTGCCTAGCCCTGGACCTTCTGTAAGTCCACAGGGCATCACTGGTATCCTTGTTCTGGATTTGCATTCTTGCCCGTATTGGAGTCAGACTGTACATCTTTTTTACCTTTATTGGTCACTGACACTTCTGCTAAGCACCCATTCACAGTTTTTGCTCATTTTTCTACTGGATTGTTCAGCCTTTTGCAATTGAATTGTATATGCCCTTGGGTTAACACAGAGTAACAAATATTTGTTACACATTTTGCAAACTTTTTTAAATGACTGTCCACCAGATGAGTGACTCATGCCTGTAATCCCAGCACTTTTGGAGACAGAGGTGAGAGGATTGCCTGAGCTGGAGGGTTCGAAACCAGCCTGGGCAACATGGTGAGACTTCATCTCTACAATAAACCAAAAAATTAGCTAGGCATAGTGGTGCATGCCTGTAGTTCCAGCTCCTTGGAAGGCTGAGACAGAAGGATCACCTGAGCCCAGCAGGTTGAGGCTACAGTGGCCGTGAGGATGCTACTTCATACCAGTCTGGGTGACAGAGTGAGACTCCAGCTCAGATAAATAAAATGACTGCATAACATTTTATCTAGTTTTGCCTTAATTTATTTAAAGTAATCACTTGACTGGACAGTGCAACTTTTCCACTTTTTTCTTTTCCTGAGTCAGGGTCTCACTCTGTCGCCCAGACTGGTGTGCAGTGGCATGATCATGGCTCACCGCAGCCTCGACTTCCTGGGCTCAAGTCGTCCTTCTGTCCCAGCCTCCCAAGTAGCTGGGAATACAGGCAGGTGCCATCACACCTGGCTAGTGTTTTAGATTTAAGCTCTTATTATGTTGCCTAGGCTGTTCTCAAACTCCTGGGCTCAAGCAGTAGTCCCACCTTGACCTCCCAAAGTGCTAGGATTATAGATGTATGTCACCATGCCCATCCTCTGCTTTTATAACTATAACTTTAAAGAACATCTTTTTATGTAAAACTTTTCTCTTCGATTTAAATCATTAGTTATTTTCCTGTGAGCTACAACCTTTTGGACTGTATTCAACCTTTTGGACTGATGGAGATTCTGAGCTATTTCTCTGATCAATCAGTGCTGCAGTGAATCCCCTATATGTTTTAACTTAGACATGAACAAAATTTTTAGGGTAGATTCCTAGAAGTAGAATTACTGTGTCAGAGGGGTGTGCACATTTAAAATTTTGATCTAGCCGGGCTTGGTGGCTCAGCCTCTAATCCCGTGCTTTGGGAGGCTGAGGTGAGTGGATTGCCTGAGCCCACGGGTTCAAGACCTGCCTGGACAACTTGGAGAGACCTCATCTCTGTAATAAATCAAAAAATTAGCTGGACGTGGTAGCGCGTGCCTGTAGTTCCAGCTACTTGGAAGGCTGAGGCGGAAGGATCGCCGAAGCCTAGCAGGTCGAGGCTACAATGGCTGGGAGTGTGCCACTGCACTCCAGTCTGAGCAACAGAGTGAGACTCCAACTCAAAAAATAAATAAATAAAATAAAATAAAATAAAATAAAATTTTGATCTAAGGTCAAACTACCCTCCCAAAAGGCTGTCCTGGTTTACATTACCCACACTCTACATACTTACTATTAACTTTTACTACTAACCTTTAAAATTTTTATTTTCTCAGCCATATAATCCAAAAAAAATCCTATCTCACCAGGCTCGGTGGCTCAGCCTGTAATCCCGCGCCTTTGGGAGGCTGAGGTGAGTGGATTGCCTGAGCCTGCGGGTTCAAGACCCGCCTGGGCAAGCGAGACCTCATCTCTACAATAAATAAAAAAAAAAATCAGCCAGGCATGGTTGC